TCATCAAGTCGCAATTCCACGATCATCAACCTGATCAAGCCTCAGCAGACATCACTATTTGTATATCTCTAGATTCTGTCCATCAATTTGACTCAAAAAGTCGAACTTCTCCCCCGACTCTTCTACCAAAATTACTCTTCGGAACGACTGAGCGCTGGAAAGCAGTGAGTCGAATCAATTAAGCTCTTTACAGCCGACGCTCTGACGACCGCACGCGCCAAGCATCGTTCCTCAGGCTATTATTTCTCATTAACTCCACTTGTCACCTTCGCCGCCATCGAGACCCTGTCCACAGCGGATATTCACCATTCAGCATAATCAAATATCCGCTCATTCAGTTTCACTCTACCAGGCCGTCCAAACGCCGGAATTTCGACGTGCAGTACGGAGTACTACGGGAAAGCTGGAAGTAACTGAGGCTTGTGCAGCCGCCCATTTGGCGCCCGTTCCCACTCCTTAGCGTTCTGGCCATATTGAGTCCATACATGACCCTGGGATCGTCGCTGGTTTGCTTATCCGCTTGGTGAAGCCCCAGATAGAGCAAACTGAAGCTTAATTTGTTCTTTGTGTTGTTCCTTGTGTCTGTTCTATTTTCGGTCGATCGAAGTGAATCGAGAGAGATATAGAACGACGGGTTGTCCCGCTCACTTTTCGCCAAACCTATCCTGATCTCGAGAAAGGTACTTCTTGAAAACTAAGACTGTCAAACTTATCTCTAGTGCAGTGTTGGGCCAATCTCGATCCTCGCTCCAACTTGCACCCGCTTCTCGGCCCCGCCGTTTTCCTGTCCCTGTCTTGGATCTTCCCTTAAGTTCAATCTTCTCTTCTCCGTTTTACCTAGGTTCCAGACGGCCTGGCCTTGCCTGATTCAAGGCGGTGGTGCCTTCGCGTGGCTGTCGCATTTCTGAACGCAGGCGCATCGTCATCTGCCATTCCGTTCGCAAGCCCCCCTCCCTGACTTCAAGACAGCTTGAGGACGCCCCACCCTCCTTTCGACAACAAAATAATAATAGAGGAGAAAAGGAAAAGAAGCGCGATATCCACCTCTCACTCCGGCCTCAGAGACTCAACTTCCAGTTTACCCGGGAGGGCTGCTTGGCCCCATGTCCTGCGCAATCCTTCCGCTACAACTTCTGTTGCCGCTCCTGCTCTGACGACGGACAACCCCACCTTACTCCTTTGAATTGTTGATCGGTTGAGGGTTCTTCGATGGCTCTCTCAACACCGCCCCGCGGCGTTCGCCCGGGTGATTTCTTGCTCGTTGTCCGTAAGTAGATAATTTGCCTTACCCCGGTCGCACGGATTGCCGCGATTGACCCCCGCTCGCTGGTCGACCATCACGATAACTGACCTGTCGCTGGTCTTTAGATGACTTCGACGCGCGTGGAACAGATGAGCTTACTTTGCGACGAGGGGAGAAGATTGAATTGATAGAACTTGACGAAGGTTTTGGCGATGGTTGGTACTTGGGAAAAGATGTGAGAACAGGGACAACAGGCCTTTTTCCTGGTGGTATGCTCTCTCCTTTTCCCAAACAAGCTGGTCGACGGCGTATTGTGATCATAACTAATAGAGGTATTTTGATTTAGTTTACACAACCGCCGCCCCGAAGATCCCTATTCGACAGCCGAGAGAGGACGTGATTGAATTGGACGACCCCAAGCCGGCAGCGGACGACCAGCTCTCCTCTGAATCGGTTACCTCGCCCAAGAGCGGAGAATCTACGCCACAAGCGTCTCGACACGCTAGCATATCGGAGATACAACCGCCAGAAGTAGCCAAGGACCTATCATCCATGATGCCTTCCCCCAACCAGCAGCACCGGTCAAGCTCATCTCCTTTGCCCACTTCGCGACTCGCCGTCGATATTCAGCAGTCGATTAGACAAACCCTAGACGGTCAATTGAAGGGCCAGGACAGCCCGGTTATGAATGAGACCTTGAGTGTTATCGATGAGCACATAACCGACCTGAGCACCCCGCGTCATAGTGTTGCTAATCACGAAAACAAAGCAAATAACGATTCCTCGAGCGAATATAGCAGCCATCTTGAACATCGGGTCTCCTACATCAGGGGCCATGAAACCGATGAAGAAGAGGAAAACCAGCCGACCGAGGAGCAAGTGCGGAGCTGGGATGCGGCCGAGACAGCGAGGCATCTGCGTGAACTGGGAGTGGAGGCGAAACACTGCGATATATTCGAGGAGCAAGAGATAACCGGTGATGTGCTACTGGACATGGATCAGGATTTTCTCTTTATGAAGGAGTTTGACTTCGGCGTCATGGGTCGTCGGTTGAAGACGTGGCACAAAGTCAAGGCTTTCCAAGAGGAGGTCAAGGGTCTCAAACAACAACAGCAACGGGGCTCTGCCTCCAGCTATCCTGCGCCGTCGGAAGAAAGATCTCTGAGCCGTGCCAGCCATACTGGCCCTTTTCTTCCCCGTATCCCTCACCTTACAAGAGGCTCGGCCGGCTCCATGCAGCACCCACGACTTGTGAGTAGCGGGATACCGAGTACCACAAGTTCTCCTATGACTCCGCAGACTCCCAACTTCATGGATCATCAGAGAAGACCTTCAGCAGCGTCCATCCGGGAAATCAATCACCACCGTCGGCATTCTTCCATAGACACAGGTCACCGCGTAGATACGTCGCCTCACGCTGGTCATTTCAAGCAGCCTTCATTTGACAGAAATTGGACTATGGGCAGCGGATCACAGCGGGTGCCCTCTCGCTCAGGTACTTACCCCACTTACCACGAAGGAGTGCTTCCCCAACACGGTTTCCGGCGCCCGGATACGAACGAGTCTGACTCTGCGGTCTCCGTGACCGATCGGTATGATGAGCTAGAACGGGGATACTTCTCTGGTCCCGAAGGGGATACCACGAAGAACAGGAGGTTGTTGCAGAAACGGACCTCTGTGACTGGAAGTGCAACCCATTCTCGACAACCTAGTTACGCCGATGATAAATTGAAGGTCAACAAACGACATTCCCGCATCGCCAGCGTTGACTCCATCCGAGATACGGCCAAGCAAGCTCCTCCTGCTGTTGTGGAGGAAGTTCAGACGACTGCAGCGCCGAAAAGCCGATTTAGGAGCCTCAGCACTCGAGTGATCGACAGACGTGGTCCAACTTCGCAGTCTTCCAGCACCACAACGTCCACAGAGAAGCCTGGCTCTAGCTCAGGCTTCTTTGCATCGTTTGCACCACTTGCCCCCTTTGTGGGAAAGTCGGATGCTGAAGGGTCAGGGCGTGCATCTTCCTTATCCTTCTCTCAGAGCAAGGGTGGTGGGCCTAAAGCACGGCGCACCGCTGGGCTCCGGATCATATCCGATGTTGTCGGGAAGGGCATCGACACCTCTGTGGCACCAGCCTCGCCCGGCAGAGATACCGATCCAGCTTTGGTCAGAACCGGTTCTACTACACCGTCGACGTCGAAGAGTTCTGAGAGGCATAGCACTGAAAGTTCAATCAAGAACGCAGAAGGAGGAATATCTTTGCCGCGTCCAAGGGCATCCGTCAAGGCGGGCCCAAAATCCAAGAAAGACACCAGCGCCTATATGCGAGGCCTGGAGAAGAAGGCGCCGCAAGAGCAAATGGACGGGTGCGATTACTCCGGATGGATGAAGAAGAGATCATCAAATCTCATGACTACGTGGAAACCTCGCCTATTTGTCCTACGTGGCCGCCGTCTGTCGTACTACTACTCTGAGAACGACACCGAGGAAAGGGGCCTCATTGACATCACCGCTCATCGTGTACTACGAGCAGATAACGATCCCATTGTCGCCTTGCATGCAACTATCACCGGCGCCACGGCATCGCCGACGTCACCCTCTCTTTCCAACGGTGGTGCTGACACTTCGTCGGCGGACAAGTCGTCCACCTCACTTTCCTCTCGCAATACCAAGCTTGATCCAGAGGGGCCGTTCTTCTTTAAGCTTGTGCCTCCCAAGACATCGCGCACCGTACAATTCACCAAACCTGCAGTACATTACTTCCAAGTGGACAGTGTCAGAGAAGGTCGACTATGGATGGCTGCGCTGATGAAGGCGACTATCGAGCGTGATATGAGTCTGCCCGTTGAGACAACGAATAAGCAGAAAACAGTCAGTTTGAAGCAGGCCCGGATGATGAACCAACGACCCCCTGCACTGATGACTGAGTCAGAACTACAAGAGGCCAAGGAAGAACAGGAGCGCGATCAAGCGTCAACCGAAACGGAGGAACGCACGGGCTTGCGAATCCAAGGCCTAAATCTCGACAAAGCGCCCGCAAGCGATGAAGATAAGGAAGACAATCCTGCTTCCCCGAACTCTCTCGGTGGCCTCGATACAGGGCCATCATCTCTGCTACCAGAGACTCTTTTGAAATCCGATTGATCAGGCAAGTTGACCGGCTTGCTGTTCTACTGCAAGGCTATTCACCCCGTTTGGCGTTATGTGATATACCCCCTTTTGATCTGATTTCTTGTTCTCTTTTCGAAAACCCTACCTCCGTCGAGCTTGAGATCATGGCAGTTTGCTTTATCTGCGTCAAACCTCTTTCTGCTGGGTGTTCTGAAGGCATAGGAATATGCGGATATACCATGAGGTTCAAGATGTTGCTGGCTAGAACATGATGAAAACCCGGAATGACATCTTTTCAGTTCTTTTCCATTTGTATACCTTTGATGAAACCATTAATGTTCTTTTTTAATAAAATAATTTTCTTATCTTAATGGCAAAGCGCGATGCGTATAGACCTTTGAATGATTCTGTCATGGTGACTCGGTTCATTTTTATTCGCTGTGGTATTAATTTGTTTAAACCACACGGACTGTCTTCCATCTCCAACTACGTCGGATCCCCTTAACCCATTTTGTCTTCACCTCCCCGTTTCTTGGTCGCGCCGATTTTTGAAAATCAATTATTTGCATGCTTTATGATCTCATGACTTTATAGCCCTTATAAATCAAATATCCATGCCAATGCGCGGTCATCTCCCAGTCGTGTCCCCATGTCCCTCCTCCGCCTTCTCTTATCTCGTGCCCTCGTCGTGCTCGTTCCACTCGCAATAACGTCCAGTCTCTACCTCTACCTCTATCCGATCTTCCAGGGTTGTGCATTTCCCCTTCCAGTCGACAAGAATGAGCGCCCACCTGATTCGTTCAGTCCCGCGCATAGTCCGCTGTTCCACACCTTTTCACACCACATCGGACAGCAGCCCGCGAGCGTGCCAGCCGTCTTCAGGCTGCTAGTTCTCGCAGACCCCCAACTAGAAGGTGATAGCTCTCTCCCTAGTCCGGACGAAGAGCTCCCCGCCCGGATCAAGCAGCACTGGACTGCAATCAGGTCATCTGTAACGGAGTCCGGGTCCCCCTTCGACCTCGACGTCCTTGGCAACGTAACTGCCGCGCTGCGCACACTCGCACGCGAAGACGTTCCACGCTCAATTCTGGCCGCGAGAAAACGACTTGATTTACTCGGGAACGATTTCTACCTCGCGCATATATACCGTACGCTGCATTGGTGGACACGCCCTACGCATGTCACGGTGCTGGGGGATCTGATTGGAAGCCAGTGGGTTACCGATGAGGAGTTTGAGCGAAGGGCAGACAGGTACTGGAATCGCGTGTTCAAAGGGGGTGAGCGGGTCAGCGATGAGATCACCGTTACTGGATCGGCGGGGTATGGAGCGGGCTCAGGAGACGTGTCCGAGTTGGAGCAGCTGAATGCGACGGACTCGGCTTGGAGTCAGAGGGTCATCAACATTGCTGGGAACCATGATATTGGCTATGCGGGAGACGCTAGCGAGGCGCGAATTGAGCGATTCGAGCGCATGTTTGGGCGCGCCAACTGGGATGTTCGCTTTCGGTATACGCGCGAGAACCAAACTGGCGATGCAGACGCTGCTGTCAAGCCTACACTGCACCTGATCAACCTCAACACGCTGACCCTGGACGGGCCAGCGCTATCCGAACAAGTCCAGTCGAACAGCTACGCCTTCATCAACGATCTGATCACCCATCGCACGTACCCTGTCGAAGATCGGACAACCTTCACGCTTCTCCTAACCCACTTGCCCCTACATAAGAAGGAGGGCATCTGCACCGACGGACCATTCTTTACCTACCACGAGTCCGACGACGAAGACGGGCCAGATGGTGTCCCCCGCTTCAAAGCGGGAGGACTACGGGAGCAGAACCATCTGAGCGAGCAGCTCAGCGCCACCGGCGTCCTCCAAGGGATATATGGCATGAGCGGCGACAAAGATGTTCCGGGAGGAGGCTGGGGCCGCAATGGGCTAATCCTCAACGGCCACGACCACACCGGATGTGACGTCGTCCACTTCGTGAACCGGTCGATCACTACAGACACGGGGGAGGATACAACCCAGCAAACGTGGAAGTGGGACGCAAGACGGTATAGTGCAGTCCCGGAGGATAGATCAGATACGCCCTCCATTCGCGAAGTCACTCTCCGAGCCATGATGGGCGACTACGGCGGCAATGCAGGCCTTCTCTCCGTCTGGTTCGACGCCAACCCGGCCGTGAACGAATGGAAGTATGAGATCACTATGTGCAAGGCCGGAGTCCAGCATATCTGGTGGGCCATCCATGTGATCGACATTGTGACCATCTTGCTTCTTTTGGTATATACTCTTTTGCCTAGAACTGTTGGACTGAAACGACAAAGAACAAAGTCTGTACCCACAAAAGGTCCGCGCGTCAAATCATAGACCGACCTCAGATATTTTGAAGGTTAGCATCAGCAGCGAGCGACTTGCTTTTCCGTTTTCCTCCAGTTGGATTTGTCTGTACCATACTGATCTTGTGTTTATATACCATTGGCCTGTTTTCTCTTCTTGATTTCTCAAATCATGTATATAATTCTGGTTACGTCTACGTTTAGAATACCGGGTCTGTAGTGTGTCGGTTCTAGAAATTAGACTTTTTGGAAGCATCCAAGAGGAAGTGGTTGCAACAGGATAGAGACCAGCAGTGCCTCAATTCCATTGCTTGTCGCTCGTATAAAGCCGGCCGCATCGGATCTCTCGCAGTTATCTCGGTCATTGGTAGACGCATACTGGGAAGATATAAAGAAGAGGAAACGATTTTGAACATTTTTTGTATTTCCGAATCGCCAGTAGAAGAAACAATAGAGAGACACGTCATTTAGGAAAGAGATGGGCGGCTTTAGATGAGGTCGGACCCGTTCATGCAGATTCGTGGCTTTGTGTCATGTGCACCGAAAAAAAAGATGATTTCATTCCCTGGTATCGCTGCTTCTATCTCTCCCTGACTTCCTAATGTCACGACGCCTTTTTGTATTGATCTTTTACATAACGACACCGGAGTTGGAAGCAATACGCTATTTGACCGAGGATTAGTACCCGTGCGTTAACCGGAGAAAATAATAGGTAACTTACGGGCCAGAGCTCAGCAGCCTCCTTACCGACGGGGCCGGTGATGGCGGATCCCTTCATCTCACCCTTGGCGTTGACGATCTGCAATAGATTGAGGTGATTAGCTTTCATACTTGAATCTGTCATAGCCGATAGTGATGGCCTTGTTCATATCTCGGAATCACACGATCAAATCGTATCTGCCGCTCCTGCAAAAGGAAAAAGGGTGTACTCACCACACCAGCGTTGTCCTCGAAGTACAGGTAGATACCGTCGGGTCTTCTCCAGGGCTTGCTCTGACGGACGACAACGGCGGGCATGACCTTCTTACGGAGCTCGGGCTTTCCCTTCTTGACGGTGGCCATAACCATGTCACCGACACCGGCAGCGGGGAGACGGTTCAGGCGGGCACCGATTCCCTTGACCGAGATGATGTACAGGTTACGGGCACCGGAGTTGTCGCAGCAGTTCATCACGGCACCGCTATATCACGAAATAACACGTTAGTCTATGATTCGTCCTTTCTGATGAGTCGATCGAACACATTTGACGGGAAGAGTTGGTTTGGTGGTTGACTGAGATGTAGGTGGGCATTTTCGTGATGATGAATGACGGGTTGTGTAGGCTCCAAGGAGACAGTGTAACACAGGTCACTTCGACAATCGTGTTCGACTCGGTAGAGTAGGAATTGCAATAACATACCAAGGCAGACCGAGGGTCATCTTGAGCTTGTTGCCGGAGGCGGCACCACGACTGTTCAAAATTCAATCATCAGCATTTCATTCCTTCAATATCTGGCCCATCCTGAAAATCCCAATATCCCATGCACCCAGCGCGATTCCTCTCAAAAATGCCGCTCCAAAATAACCCTTCGAAGATTCTTCAGTTCCTCCTCTTATTCCAACGATAATCCACCTCACGCTTCTTGGTCTCCAGCCATCAAAGAACCGTCCACCACCTGTGCGCTCTTTTTCGACCGCGCAGCGCTCCGCAAAACCCGGAAAAGAAGCATTGTGACTCACCCTCTCTTAGACATCTTGGCTAGGTATCACGTAGTCGGTGTCGGATACTGGGAAAAGGGCGAAAGGGCGACGAAGGTCGAGAGGGATCTGGGCGACGTCGAGGGTTTGCACGGCGGTTCGGGTTTCGAATTGCTCTCGCTTAGTGTGCGTGGTGTGTAAAATCTTGGCGCTTGATCACCATTGGCTCTTCTGCCCCGCCTTGGAGAACAGAGCTTGCCCTAATGCTAAGCTTTAATAGGACTAGTCTATGATTACTTAACCATACTGCTGGCGGAGGATGGTTAACCAGTTGCCTGCTTACCCTTCTTTTTGCGTACGAGGGCTCACTTATCCGCTCAAAGCATACCAGAAAGTCCGTACATGCCTATTGCTGCTCGATACCGAAATCAAAGACATAGATGTTTTCATATATTTCTTATATTAGATCATCGATAGAGAATAAATGATCTATGCAGACCCTGGATTACCAGAGTCACCATCAAACGCGGATAGTATACAGGAGAGATTGGTTGATGAAATGTAACATGCTAGCAAAGAGTGAATAAAAATAAATGTCATATTGAACCATATCTTGCTCGAGAAAAGAAGTAGAAACTAGCACCAGGTTGTAAAGAAAATAAAAAGGCCACCTCATAGAACATATGCAATGATTTCGAGAGCCCGAAACACCATACTACCATTGCCCTGTTACGCCAGAAACTTCCAGTGGATGGACGCCTTCACAGACAGAGAGCAGAACATCAATCCCCGCCTTTCTCAGCCTCCTCAGGTTGCTGTTTTGAGCTTACTTCTGTGGGTTGGCTACTTGTCTTGTTTTCACTGGCATCCTCAGAAGTCTCCTGCTCGGCTTTCACAGCCGGTTGATCGATAGGGGCCTCAGGAGTCTTCTCCCTGGCCTTCACCTCAACCGGTTCCGTTGCATCATTCGTTTCTGGCTTGTCCGAGACGTCCTTCTCGCCTGGAATAGGCGAAGCCTTGCTGGGAGATGAAGGTTCTGGGGCTGACTTTTCTGGAGCTGGTGTCTCTGGATTCTTCTCCTCTTCCTGCCCCTCAACTGACGACGCTGGTTTCTCCAACTGCTCAGTTCCGGGGACAGGCGCACCTACGTCTTCCATCGTAGTGTCCTCATCCTGCGGCTTCGGAGATTGTTGGCGGGAGACAGCAGCAGAAGCGGCAACGTCCTCTGGTCCATCAACAGCCATCTCAGTAGGCTCTGCAGCCGCTTTTTCGTCTCTCCTGGAAGTCGATCCGGCGGCGGATGGCGAGCGTGGAACATCAGACTCGGGTAGAGGTGCTTCGGCCATTTTCGTGTCGGCCATGGTGTCCATCTCGTCATCCGGGACCGACGAGGCTTCTTGAGGAGTTGCAACCCCGCTATCAAGCCCGGAGTCCAGGTCTACATTCCGATAATTGATCTGGTTTCTGCGCTTCAGCGATTGAGGCTTGCGAAGAACTCCGTTCGCCGCATTCTCTTCCTCGTCTTCACTATCGCTGAGTTCACCAGGCTTCTCGATATACTGATCGAATCGGCGTTTCGTGAAGCGTTTGTCCTTGTTTTCGTCTTCGTCGAGATCATCTAGGATTGCGTCTGCCTCATCGTCCATGCCCTCAACAAGAGGTTCGCGAGGTACGTCAGTCATTTGCACAGAGGGTGCAAAAGCCGTCCGCTTGAGATTCTCCACCACTTGAGCTCGGATTTTGTCGAGATAATCCTTTGTGTTAGCATTGTCCATATTCGACGGACGCACATCAAGTTCGTAGTCCGGTGCAAAGTACTAAGTACCTTGTTAGCAATCTGCACGCATTCAATATTATATCCAGTATGGACTCACCTCGTAATAGTCATTGTACGGAAGTTCGGGACCTAGACTGTCCCCTAGCAGAATCCCAGTCTCAAAGGCCCACGTTCGCGCAACATTGCGCATTGTGTAACCACCGCCACCGAGAATCATGGTCGGTAAATTGAAGCTCTTGACGAAGTTCACACAGTTTGCGTGGCCTCTCATGCTCAGATTGAAACAACCTAGACGATCACCCGAGAGACTATCACCGCCACATTGAAGGACGACAGCTTCTGGGCGGTACCATTCCATGACACTTCGGATAACAGGCTCAAAGATACTCTTGTACGAAATGTCATCGATGCCATCACGAAGTGGAAAGTTGACAGCGTAGTGCTTGCCCTGTCCCACTCCAATATCACGAAGCTCGCCGGTCCCCGGGAAGTATTCTCCGTACTTGTGGAATGAGACAGTCATGACGCGGTCAGTTGTGTAGAACGCTTCCTCGACACCGTCGCCGTGATGGACATCGATGTCAACGTAAAGGACTCTCTGCTTGAATCGTAATAGCTCGAGGATACCAAGAACGATATCTGTGAAAGTGAGAAGAGGTCAGTCGATAATGGCAATCGCCGCAACAGGAAGATAAGCTTACCGTTCACGTAGCAGAAACCACTCGCTTCGCTCTTCTTCGCGTGATGGAGACCTCCAGCCCAATTCACAGCGATGTCGCATTTGTTGCGGTTGAGGCGCGCCGCACCTTCCATGCTGCCTCCGGCGCTAATACCGCAGAACTCAAAGAGCCCGTCGAAAACCGGACAGTCATCCCCAACATTATACCTGCCTTGCTCTTTGGAAAACTGGTCCATATTGTCTGGCGTAACTTTTGAAAGGAAGTCGATATATTCGTCGGTGTGGAATTGTGTCATTTCATACTTTGAGGCTGGTTTCGCACGCTGCGCCAATTGACGATTAGTATTCTGCTTGAATCTAGCCTTGAAAGTCCGTGAACACTCACGTAAATCTCCATCTTCTTGTAGAGGCCATAGTTCATAACCAGGCTATGTGTCATCCTGATACGATGCGGCTTCATGGGATGCCCAGAAACATAGGCGTAGTTACCTACGTCCGAGTCGTAGAAGTACGCAACCTTCTTGCTGCGATCACCGGAGCCATTGAGATCCAGGTCAATCGGAGGAGCAGCCATTGTAGATGAGACTGTGCATAAATGCACAGGTATTCTTCACTCAGGACCGCGTATAACTATGTGAGATAAGTCGCGAGATGGCAAAGTAGTATGGCTCGGATCGATTATAGAAGTGCTCAAGATGGGGTGATGATAAAGCAAGAGAACTGCGCCAAAGGCTTGAAGAGTTCTCTAAAGTGAGATGATTTCTGATGAAAAAAAGGCACCAGCCCTGATATGAGAAGACAGAACAATCTCGAGGTTATGGTGCTGTAATGAATTTCCGTCCTGTCGGCTGGGGAAATTATAAGTGATGGAGGAAGCGAAGGGGAGGCCGAGCAAAGGCCGCAGAGGCCAGAGGGGAGGCCGAGACTAGACGGAAGAGCTGCTCCCACCGCCTCCGTCAGGCTCGCTGGATCTTGAGCTTGGTCACGCCCAGCTAAGGATATTGCTTAGATCTCCGGAGCATCGTCACTCAACCAACTGGCTCGTTCTATTTCTACAGTCATCCTTTTCTCCATCTAATCTCACCTCCCTCAACCGGGCTACCCAACATCTGATTCCATTGACTTATATTCATTTCGACCTCCACGCAACAGAAAACCTGCCTCTGTGTCGCCGACCGACTGTCGCGCCGTCATTGCTTCCATAGAGGAAGCTATTCTGCATTCTCTCCCAGTCTTTCAGAGTCTCTTGAGTCACCATGGATCGACTCAATAGGATGCTTCAGGCCGCCCAGGGCATGGGTATGGGAAGCGCAGCTCCAGGTGGTGTAAGTCGGCCCTATGCGTCATTAACGCTTTGCATCTGTTGCTTGTGGCCGTCTATTCAAGGTCTTCTGCAAAGGCTTCTGTCTCCGCTGGATATAGATTATTTATGGGATCAAGTCACTGAGAACTATGATGGCTGATACTATACTTCTTGTAGGACACCCCGAACCTGATCGATAACTCCGAGACTGTACACATTTCATCGCTAGCTTTGTTGAAGATGTTAAGACATGGTCGGGCAGGTGTGCCTATGGAAGTCATGGGTCTGATGCTGGGGGAATTCGTCGATGAATACACAGTTCGTGTGGTTGATGTTTTTGCCATGCCCCAGAGCGGTACTGGTGTCAGTGTTGAGGCCGTGGACCCCGTTTTCCAGACCAAGATGATGGAGATGCTTCGACAAACTGGACGGTAGGTCTCGGCAGGCTGGAGCAAGCTTGAAAGTTGCACCGCTGATAGATCTTCGAAACATAGGCCAGAAACCGTCGTTGGATGGTACCACTCCCATCCTGGTTTTGGCTGCTGGCTTTCGTCCGTGGACATCAACACTCAGCAGTCATTCGAACAGCTCACTCCCCGAGCAGTCGCAGTTGTGGTTGATCCGATTCAGTCCGTCAAGGGAAAGGTTGTCATCGATGCCTTCCGACTAATCCAGCCTCAGACCGTCGTCATGGGCCAGGAGCCACGGCAAACCACATCCAACTTGGGTCACCTGAACAAGCCATCAATCCAGGCGCTCATCCACGGATTGAACAGACATTACTACAGCATCGCTATTAACTATCGCAAGACGGGACTGGAGGAGAACATGCTGATGAACTTGCACAAGCACGTGTGGACAGAAGCATTGCAGATGAACGACTTCCATGAGGAAGGCCACCACAACGTGGAGCGGATGAAGCAGCTAGTGAGCCTTGCTGAAGGTTACGAGAAGCGGGTCAAGGAGGAGACAGAGCTCACCAAGGAGCAACTCAAGACACGATATGTTGGAAAGGTTGACCCCAAGAAGCGTAAGTCCTACACCTGGCTTTCCTTGATTGCTTGTTATTGACCATCTTTACAGACATTGAAGATGTGAGCCAGCAACTGATCGAAGACAACATCGTTGCGGTATCGCGGCAGATGATTGACAAGGAGGCTTCGGTGGCGCGTTTGTCCAGTGGAAAGGGAGCTCCAGAGGGGACGGGCATGGATGTGGACGAGGAACTATAGATACACTCCGGAGGAAGATGAGGAATGCCAACTGATCTTTTTGCCTATGTTCTGGAGCTCTATGC